AAAGAAAGAAAGAAAGATTCAGAATAACAATGGACAAAAAGATTAAACCTAGGATTAGCAACAGACATTTGACTTTGAGCTCCAAAAATTACATAACCACCATAAATTTGTTAAATTCCAAATATTCAAGAGCAAAATATCAAGAGCACAAAAAGGTACATTAAAATAAGCAAAAACAACCAATAATCAAGCCCCCCCCCCCCTTTTTTTTCTTTCTTGAAACCCCCAACAACAACAATCTTGAAAAAAAAACCTAGACATATGTGGGGGAAAATTTATTAAAAATATAATATAAAAAATAAGTTTTCTAGACCTGGAAAACTTCATGGGCATATTGAATAATGAAAACAGATTTTTCTAGTTATGTCAAGTTCTAAAATATTTTATGGGGTAGAAATAAGTAAAAAAAAAAAAAATTTAATTCTTATCCTTAATCCTTATCCAGTAAATCACAAAGAATTGGAGTCATGGGGTTATCAAACATTGTTGTGAAAAAATCACTGCCATAAAAGTATCTTAAAAAGTAGTCCATATGGCTTGTGTGCTATTTTCCAAGTAGGGCTGTCAGTTTAATGTGTTTAATTTATTGACAGCCCTAATTCTAAGTCTTCTAAAGCTTGACAATCTTATTATGGTGCTTTTTTGTTGTATCTGGAGCTTAAAAGTGTCCGCCATTCACTTTCTTTGAAAATAGCACCTCAGAAATTCTGCTAAACTTCTTCAATGCTTTAAGTGATTGAGAAAGTATTTGTGTTTTCAATATCACATTTACTCACATTATCATATTTAGGTCAAAACCCAGCATGTGAGTGTCTACCATTCTGTGCTCGACTCTCTCTCTCTATCTCTGCTCTCAATGACCCATACGCTTCTCTAATTTTATTTCCCTGTATTTTCATTAGCTATGGCTGCGCAACCGAGGGAAATATATTCTGCCTGCTTGTGTGTGGCAGTAAATCAATACAGTGAGCGTTAGTCTTCTCTCCTCCTTATGTAAGACTCTCATCCCTCACTTCCCTCTCACTCTTTAGCTGTTTAAATTTCTTCATGTTCTAACAGTTAGACTGATAACGCCTGACCTGAAGGTCACCTGCCGCAAACATCCAAAGCTATTTCAGCATTCTGAAGAAACACAGTCAACAACACAAGATGGGAAGTGTGTCATGACAGATGACACAAAGGATCTAATGGATTAACTAACTCTGTATTGTAGATCTGTAATGTTTAATAAGTCATTATGAAAAGATGAGGGACAGATGAGAGTTTTACATGCAATGAACCATTTCTATAAATAAAGTACAAATTTATTCCTGTGATGTCAAAGCTGAATTTTCAGCACCTGTTACTTCAGTGTCACGCGATCCTTCAGAATTAATTCTGATTTGGTGCTTAATTATTATCAATTACTATTGGTGCTTAATTATAAAAAAGTATTCCTATCATTATCAATTTTGAAAACATTTTAAATATTTTTATATTTTATCATATTTTAGCTAATATTTTTGTGGAAACGGTGATACATTTTTTCAAGATTCTTTGATGAATAGAAAGTTCAAAAGAACAGCAATGGTTTAAAACCCGAAATCATTTGTAACATTATAAATGTCTTTAACGTATCCTTGCTAAATAAAAGTATTAATTTAATTTATTTTAATCTTTTTTACACCAAACATTCATATGGTACATCATTGTTAGAAATTATAAAAAATTATAGAAATTTGGGACATGTCTATCTAGTTTAAATTCTAGTTTAAAATCTGATAAAAATTGTGTGATTTTATTATTTTCTAGCAATAAACACTTAACACAAAAAAGACAAGATAAAAACAAAAACAAAACAAAATTAAACAAATCAAGTAACAGGTTTGCACACAAAAAGTGTGCAAAATAAAATAAATAAATTATTAAAATAGTATTTTACAACATTCGATTCAAAGACTCAAATTCCTATCCTGAGAAATTTGACATGTTTAAAACTAGGTACTTTTGATATAAAAAAGCATAATATAACAGCATAATATATTATCTAACATATCTAGTTCTCACAACAACAACTAATGGGATCTGTGTCTCTTATGAAATCACGGGACACCTAAGAGTACTGTATTCATGGAATGTGCCGCTGAACAGTGGAACTGAAGGGAAGGAGTTTCGCCCCTCTGTTTACTCAATGGCAAAAACACAACTTCTCTTTTTGCTTCTCACTAGGTGCTGTGTTTGTGTGACAGCCGAGCGTGTGATCAGAATAAACTAATAAACCATCTCTTTCTCACTCCATCTCTTCTGTCAGCGTGTGACTCACAGCAACAACTGAATCAGAGAAGCATTTAAGTGCAGGAACCAATTTTCCCCACCGTATAAAATCCACATGAGTATGAGAGCCGAGCAATTACTGGCGACGATGACAGCTTTAGGGTGACACTCGGGTCGTAAATTTCTCACTCCGCATGCCGTTGGGAGATTTCTACATGCTTTGGATATCAGGACAGACTCCCATAAATCGCAGAAACGTCTATTAGAATTCCCATTCCGGCGTTCCTCTCTCCTAACCCATCTCCTCGCGCTGCCTGGGGAACTAACCTAGAGCGGTGCTAACGGTGCCGCCGTCATCAGGGTGACTGCTATGGGAAGACGAGAGGGACTGCGAGGAGCTAATTTGCACAGGAGGAGGATAGAGAGGCTGAGGAGGCTGCCGACGATATGCAGAGAATTCGCTGAATGGTTGAGAAAGGAGAGGAAATGTCGGAGACACAGCGAATGTGCTGGAAATGCACGGAGGAGGACTCACGAGGCCTAATCAATCAAGGAGTGTGTGTGTGGTGATTAAAAAGCACGCAGGTGGAATTTGTTACACTGAAGAGTTTTCTCTCCTCAATGGAAGAAAAAGAGCCAGTGAGTGGCAGAAACTGAAATAGGATCCCAGATTAAGAAGCCTTGGAGCTAATCATTTCTCCTACAATGCTCTTCAACACTCCAACCAAATTGTACAAACCAAAAAAAGTTACCAGAAAAAAAAGAGACCTCTAAATGGTGTGAAATTTCAAGTGATGCACCTTATATTCTGTGACTGAGCATAAAAAAGTGAGTCTCACGTATGTCCGGGTCACATTTCTCAGTTTCAAAATATTATAATTTAATTTGTATACCATTAATAAAGAACTTATTTAATTTGTAGTTAACTAGTAAAAGTATTAAAAAAATAACCCTTCTAGGCTGTTGGTGTCTGGGTTTATTTATTTATTTTTTAAAAGACATGAGATTTTGTGACTTCCTACACTTGTTATACTTCAGTACAGTAAAATAACTCAAATTTGTTCTAAAAATCATTTCATAATAAATCAAAAAGCAAGACATGAAAAAAACTAGGGAGTTGAAATGGCAACTGCCAATGAGTGATCCTCTGCTGCCATCTACTGATTATAATGGTAATTTCATGTCAATTTCATCTTAAAAGTCTTTGTTTTCTGCCAGGAGACATTTTAAAACATATGTTTAATGTGAACTTTATGAATGAAAAGTTAATCTTTAAAGGGGTCGTAAACTGAGAAATCAAATTCCCCCTGATCTTTTGACATATAACAGGTCAATGTACTATAAAAACATTCTTCAAGTTGCAAAACTCAAAACTTTCAAAGTTCAAAAACAGCTTTTATTGAAACCAAGTTCAGAAAATGACTCGTTTTGGAATGTGCCACTTTATGACATAATAGTGTGACAAAGCACCACCTCCGCAGGAAATCAATGCCTGCTTCTACATCACTGGCTCTTTAGCTCCACCCACTGATACATGTTTGTATGTCAGAAATAGAGCGGGACATCAGTTTACTGTCAGGGATTTGTTGTGACACACCGTGCCGCATCCAGTGTAGACAGAATACTTCTATGTATAATAATTGTAAAATGTAATAATTCTGTTGTCTATAGTCACATTGCGCCGCTCGCGTCCGGTGTAAACACGGGATAAAATTAGCAAAGACCTCCAGATCGTGTCAGTGAAACACTGTTTGTTTGTTTGTTTGCTTTGCTTTGCTACGAATGCATTTTTTAAACTAGACAGTGTATGATGCAGGCTTTTCAGAGAGCCTGAAAGTAAAGGATGATGCAGTGCTGAGTCTGCCTAGAGTGGATCCAACAGTAATGTCGCAACACATAAGTGTGAGTAAACATGCTTTTACCACTACTGCATTGTCTTTTCCAGACCGTTTGATATATACTGAGCATTTATGAGTTTTTAACCCAAATTACCCATGTTGTTTTCAGAGTACGTCAAAGCAGCGTCCATCTGTTATTTTAATAAGCGAAACTGTTAGCCAATCATAGCAGTGGGCATTTCTTTCGCGTCTTGAATGCGCCCTGTGACTTTTAAAGTGACTTTTACTGCACAGCTGTAGAGTTGGCTTTAAAATATTATGTGTTTTAAAAATGTGTTCATGACTATGAAGGTAAGTTATTGATTATCAAGAATACCATTATGATGTTGTTTACGAGATAGCATCGCTAGCTAGCTAAGTTTAGCCTAAGCAGTTGTTTAGTTGTCAGCATTTAAATGTACAATTACGTGTCTAGGTACTCTCCTAGGATTACCAGGCTTGGCATATAAAATTATATGTTGTTAAATGTTGTTCAATAACATGAAACTGTATGTTAATGCCGCTATCATTATTTACGGTGTTGCAATTATTTTGTTGCTCAGTTTCTGACAAGAACGAGGCAGGAGAGATTTCTGTCAGAGGTTTCTGGAGGGTCTCAAGAGTCTCTACCTATATATCACAACATCAAATGAGCTTCACCGGAAGTTTACGAGCTGGCTTATCTTTATGCCTGAAGTTCTAAAGAACGTTCCATGCATATGGTCAATTAAGCAAGTTTTCTTAATTAGCTGGTTCAGGTGTGTTTAATTAGGGTTGAAGCTAAACTCTGCAGGACACCGGCCCTCCAGGACCGAGTTTGGAGACCCCTTTTGTAGAGTAAGCAGTGATTGACATCATAATGGTACTTACTTCTCATTGGTGGAGCTGGCCTTCCTCTGGCAGAACATGGACAGGGAGGAGGAGCCAGGCACTACTTCTTGCTTGATTTCCCACGCTGCCAGATTACTGGGCTTTACCACCATGAAATTAATGCCTTGCCCATACTGGACTCTAAGGAAATCAAGAACACAGGATTTGAACACTCTAAACAACACACCCATAAACTTATTCACTTAACATAACTTCATACATATCATGCTCAAACACACTTTTTTGTTTTTAATTTAGAAAATTGCTTTTTTATTACCTGTTTAATAAATAATCAGCTACTACCATGTATAAAATCCCTAGCAGGTGACTCACATTAATATTTAGTCTTAATTCTACATCCAATTTTAGAAATGCAACCACATGGGGGTGTATATCACACTTTTTCAAGAGTTTTACAGTGTTAGTACAGCTCTGTGGAATAAAATGGCTAATACATTAGTTAGCTAATGCATATTAAACACTGCTGTTCTGGTGTACATTTATGTACTTTAGAAAGTATACCGTATACAAGTATATAGTAATATGTGGATGAGGATATGTGCATTTTTTATTGATAAATCTCTGTCCTCTGGACTTGTCTGCTGACTCATCTAGTCATCACCTTGGCAAGACACTGCAGACTTTATTAACACACACACACACACACAGAGAAGTCACTATATCTGCCTTTCAATGGCCTTGGAAAGATCAGAGGTGAGATTTCCTAACTTAAAGAACACTGCAAGCTTTCCTCAGTGGCTCTCTCACTCTATTTTCATGGTCTGGCATTACTATTTATTCAGAGTCTGTTGTTAGTGCTTTGGCTGAGGACAGTAAGGATTTTCCAATCAAAATGCAAACAAGAGAGACTAATCTTGATTCATGATTACTGTATGAGTACTGTTAAAAAGATCAGTCCTCTTTTTTCTGAGTTTGGTCTCCTCAGACTTTAGTTTAAAAGCTGTACTGAAATGACCTACAGAGTAGGGCTGTGCGATATTGAAGAAAAATGCGATATGCGATACCTTGTTAAAAAATGCGATATTCGATACGATATTGCTTAACGTGTGTAAAATCGATTTCAATTATATTTTAAAATATTTAAAAATTAAAATGATATAACCAATTTGTTTCACATTCTTTCTTGGAAAAGAAAGAATCACTATAACTTCTGAAAGTGACCAGCAGTGTTTTAGCATTACATAAAAATTAATGTCACAAATCAGAAAATGTCATTTTAACATCAGTACATACAGTAACATGCAAACCAAAAAAATTAATGACACTAATTTTATATCATTGTAACTTTGCTTTCCATACACTTTAAGTACTTCTTCATACCACAGCAAAAACTATAGTCTGAGAAAGTTCAAACATGATTAAAGGCAAGTGAACAGTCAGTAAAAAAAAGAAAGAAAAAAAGAAATACACAATTTACAAGCATAGATAATATAAACGGTAGTAATCAGGTACAGAAATGTAATAATTACGTGTAAAATAACACTGCATAGTGTTCACAGTATGAATTAAATTTAGATTGATCTTTGTTATAGCTGTTTTGTTGTTTTATTAACATTAGTGTCATATTCAGCAGCACGTATTTATAGGCTGCTGTCTCTTTAAATCCGACTGCACGGATCTAGTATAATGATACACATCCGATATCTTTCTCAGCTGTTTCCATTCATTTAAAACATAACCGACTGCGTTTACGAGAATGATCGTCGAGACGGGTCCTATTGACATAATTCTGTGTGTATGTGTCTGTTCAAACATAAGGAGGAGATGCGAAAGACGAATTAACTCGGTGTTCACGCGCCTGAAACACGTCTCTATGTGTGTGTGTGTGTGTGTGTCAGGTGTGAGTCAGACAGCAAGACGAGACGGCAAAGAGTTGTTTTCTGAAACTTATTGCACTTAACTCTTTTTAATGTCAAGCAATTCTCTGCTATATGCGTCGAACTAAAACTTTGACCTTTTGCAACGTTTTGCTTTAAGTAGTCTATTATTAAAAGGATTCAGATATCGCACGGCCTTGCTATATGCTTTTTGCGATATTTCGATAATTTCGATATATCGTGCAGCCCTACTACACAGAGTTGCAAATAAATTAAAGTTAAATAAACAAATAAATGTACAGCTTTAAAATCGAAAGATGGTGTGGTATTGAGACTTACTTTAGTACTATTGCCATTAGTGGGGCAAAAGTAAACAAAACAACTGGCCAAGTTGCTTGATATTATACCTGAACAGCAAAGAACATTACAAAGTATATCTGTCTTTTTTCTCACACAGAGATATTAGTTTAGCCTTAGTTCCTGAAACAGATTTATGTTGCCTAGCCACCTCATATTTGTGAACAGAAAGCAGGTGATGTAAATAGGTTACTGTGGTAAAAGAACATGACCTTTAATGCCCAGAGACAGAGATTCATTAGAAGTAAACATATGACTGTGCTCTGTTCTCCACATAATTAATTACACCTCTGTATCCATGACTTAAAAGAGGAATAGAACAATAAAGTGTCTTTCTTCCAAACATTAAAAAACACCTTGTTGACAATTCAACTGGCAACATGTACACAATTGACTAAAAGAGGTTGTAAATATAGTACAGTAGTGCTACTGCTATTTTTATTCCTGTTTTTATTCCTCTGACATAGAATTGTCCATCACTTTAACTGGCTATCCCACAATACAAAATCTGAATATATTACCACATTCAAAAATGTAGAAATATTCCTAAGTAGTCCATTCAAAAACATCAAAACAACTGCTATTTTTTCTAAAGATGTGAATGGGAAAAAGTTGTATGTCAGTTACAAACTTATAATGGTTCAATGTCATATTCTTATTGTGAAGTAACCTTGAGCTTGAGAAATATATAAATGCAACTACTTATTCACTACAATATATGTGGATTAGCCATTGAGCTGCATGAGTTCTTTACTCCAACAAAGAATTGATTCTATGCTTCCCGAGACACTGGGGATCGAAAGTCAACTTTAAATGTTCAGTGTGAAATGACTAAGAGATTATCTTGATTATCAAAACTACCACACATCCCAGAAGAGAATTATCAGCTAGCTGGGAGTATTTTGATTTATTCCAGTGACTCAAATCTTTTGATTCTGCTCAACAAAAAGACTCATTTACTGATTTATTGAGTGACTCTTTCTATATGTTACATCATTGCAACAGCAGGAGGCGCCCACCTAAGTCAATGAATCATACACTTAACAGATCATCAATTTTGATTTATAATATCAATCATAATACTGTAAATTAGACTTTTGCACTGTTTAATAGAATAGTTCACCAAAAAAGAAGACATGCCGAATATTTACTCACCCTCAGGCCATCCAAAATGTAGTTTGTTTTTGCATCGGAACCGATTTGAAGAAATATTTCATTGCATCACTTGCTCACCAATGGATCCTCTGCAGTGAATGGGTGCCATCAGAATGAGAGTCCAAACAGCTTATAAAAGCATCACAATCCAAAAGTAATCCACATGACTCCAGTCCATCAATTAATATCTTGTGAAGCAACATTTGTAAGAAACAAATCTATAATTAAGATGCAGCTTTTCACTTCTCAAGATGTTAACCGATGGACTGGAGTCATGTGGATTACTTGTGGAATATTGTGATGTTTTTATCAACTCTTTTTTCAATTGGTGAGCAAGTGATTAAATTTCCCCACATCTGTTCTAATAAAGAACTAATTATCTATATCTTAGATGGCCTTAGGGTGAGTAAATAAAGCAATTCCTTTAAAATAACAACTTAAATTGCCTCCTAGTTTTGTTAAGAATCAAGAATCGATTTATTTGGAATCAACTCTTTAAATTCTGAAAACTTGTAATCAGAGTAATTTCCAAACGTTCCATAAACAAACAACTCTTCTCAAAAGAGGCATATTTTTCTGCTTTTAAGCCTCTTGTTTTAGGATCTTTTGAGAACAGGAACATCTGGGTAAAATAGCCTGCTTCCATAGAGTCACAACACAGCTGCTGCTCAACTCTTACGTAACTACTCAGCTATTGTGTAACAACTACAAAAAAATGTTACATTTCGAGCATGTTTGAAAAAGCATTAGCATATGTATACAGTTATGTCATTAATAAAATCTGATTCTAAATTAACTAAAAGGTTGTAGGTTCAAACTCGAAAAACTGTTAAATCATCCACCATTGTGTCCTTGAACAAGGCACCAAGATGCTCCAGGGGGTGTCTGCCAAATGAATAAATGTTAATGTAATATATCTCAGGCCAGTGATCACATGGTTTCTAATACAGAAGTCACGTGGCATGTTCTGCCATAGTACAGCTGCATTTTTAAAGAACACAAATTGACCGTCACTGCATCATTTACCAGAAAACACACATGCACATAAATATGGTGGTGAAGCCAATTGATATTTTGGTTCTCAAGACCACAATGGAAAAGCACTTTGGTGGTGAGCATAGCAACGAGAAAGGTCATGTATTTGTGTGTGTGTAAGAGTGGACACCGCACAGGAAGCATTCAGGTCTGCAGGCCAATCCAATTGGCATTTAATTAACTGGGGACTCAGATCAGGGAGTTTACCCTTCTAAATCAATCCACTATCCCAAGACTAAACGCTCACACATAAACAAACACACATGGTGGATTACACAGGTGAATTAGCAGGGTTTGTCTGGCAACTTATCGGTTGGAGATGAGTTTGCAGATCGTGGTGTAAAGGGCAACACAACCTTAGCACAAAAACAAACAGCCATGTCATTGTATGTGTGTGAGTGTGTGATAGAGAACAGTGAGTTTCAGCTTGGTGTCATTTTGCATTTAGAGTGAGGACGGACCGCACAAAGAGTGGGACACAATCGAACGTCACCCATTCTAAGCAAGAGATTTTCTGTATAATATCGGTTGGTGTTAATAATCTTAGCATCTAGCAGCTGACGTGGCCACATTTGCACCTTTATGCAAATGTGACGATACGAGTATTGATACAGCTGGCCCTGTATCGATACTGTGGCACGTGTGCAACAGTGGACCCTTAACACCTAACTGCTTGTTTCACACAAATGCTGGCACAGACATGCATGTTCGGCTAGAGTCGCTTTGAGATGAACTCATGCATCTTCGGAAGCGGAG